GCCTTCTTCGGCCAATGCTTGGCGCTGTTCAGGGTCTGCCGCAAGGGGGGGCTCACCAATGACGGTCCAGCTTTCGGAAGATGTATGCAATGGGAGTTCGCTCCAAGGTTCAAGCTAGTTTCCGCCGTTTCCGATGCCCCATTCGCATCCCCCAGAATCGGTTCGTACGTTGCCCCGACAGGGGGCCAGCGGCAGGAGTGCGACACGGAAAGAGCGGCCGAGGCTCGAATTCTGAGCTCGGCCTAGGCACAGCACGCATGGCGTCCCGGGAATGGAAGAACCGCCATCATTTTACTCGGGGGCGGAAAAGAGGGGGGTGATGACTAGGTGGGGGTGGATAACATGGCGGGGGCCATGATATTTCCCCAGATTTTATGGCGCCTCCTCGTATTTCATTTCGTCCCTGGCCCCCCCGCTGGGCCGCGCACATGCCGCCGGTCATGATTTGCACCCCCCTCTTGGACACCCCCCTCTTGGCCGCTCCCGATTTACGGCCAGGCGTGGAGAGTTCGTGCAGAGCTGGCCACGTTGCACTACCCCCGGGGTGGCGGAATGAGTGCGTGGCAGCTCGCCCGGGTCGACGGGCCAGCTGTGTCAAGTGGGAAGCCCACGCGGGCAGCATCACGCCGTGCCAGCAGGCAGTTATTCGAGCGGCTTGCGCCATTCGGGTGGCCAGGGCCTCGTGAACCATCGCTCGGACGTGTGCATTTTCCCTTCGGCGAGGACCATCGAGGAGCATCCTTGATCAGTTGGCGAACAAATCACGCACGACACCGACAAAAAACACAGGGAATGGACGTCCGAGCGATGGCCAGTGAAGGACTGTTGGAGGCATCAGGGTGGCGTCTCGGGTCTTCTTGAGGCCCCCTTGGGGGCCACTTGGGAGCCATGCGGATGCCTCTTGCGACCGCCTCGGGGGCCTCTGGAGGTCGACTGGAGCCATCTTTGGGGGGAAAGGCTCGACGTGTCAATTCGTATTCCCCCGTTGGTCTCGCTCTGAGGCCCTGTGTTGCCTTTTCGGAGCAGTCTTGGGAGCCCCTGGGGCAGTCTTGTGGCCCTTTGGGGCCGTCGTGGAGCCCTCTTGGAGGCCTCTTTGGGGCCCTGTTGGCCGTCTAGGGGCGATCTCTGGGGCCCGCTTGAGCCTTCTAGGACGGTGTCAAGACTGTAAGTCTATGTTGTATGTCATGTCAAAACCGGGTATGTAGAAAGTTTGAGTTGTTCCAAAAGAATGTGGCGAATGTTGTTTCTTGAGGCCCTCTCGGCGATCTTCTTGGAGCTCTCTTGGGGCGTTCTGGGGACGTGTTGGCCTGCCTTCAGGCTATCTGGGGTGGTTTGGATATCTCTCCAGCGTGTTGGAGCCCAGCTTGGACAAGCTTACTTGGCGGCGATTGAAATTTGGCTCAAGTTTGCCACTGCGGCCCGCTTGGCCACGATGCAATTGCATGCCGCAAGATGCAGACGAACACAAGACAATCCTGTGTGACTGCTACATTGTAATTCCAACGGGAGCAGCAACATACACTCATCATTTGTTTGAACACAACAGGGCACCGAGTTCGAACCTGATCCGAACCCGATTCCCGAGGAAATCTCGCGAGAAGCGTTCACGTCTCTAGTGGCTCGGACCGGCTTGGAACCTGGTTCGAACTTGCCCTTCGAGGAAGTCCCGCACGAAACGCTCACTTTCATATAGTTTCGAACAGGGTTCGAACCTGTTGTCCGAGGAAGTCTCCCACGAAACGCTGACTTTTCTACTGTTTTGAACTGACTTCTATTGTTCCGAACTGACTTTCGATCCTGGTTCGATTTTTTCTGGGGAGGAAGCTCCACGAGTTTCGCCGTTTTCGAACCGCCCCCCTTCAAACGCGATTTGGGACCCTGGGGGATGGAGAAAGCGGGAGGGGGACAGCCAAATTTCTCACACGCTTGTTCACCCCCGGCAGACGGGGGTCGGTGGATATATCATTTTTCGTGCCCCTGGTTTGTCGCTCCCCCCCCCCGCTTCCTCCACCATGCGTGAAGGTCCAGATCCACGTCAACGAACAGGTTGTGTAGGAGCGTTAGCAGAAAAGGGGGTTAAGATAATTGACAGCCCCGCTGGTATTTGGGGGGTCAAGGTAACCACGGCGTCGACTTGCGCGTTCCAGTTCGGGCTCGAACATACAAGAGTACCACGCTAATATTTTTAGCAAGCTATTCCACTGGAGGGGGATAGCGAGGTGTAAATATATATATATATATATACATATATATGAGGCTTGAAGTACCGCATGTGTTCTCCATCCCTTGTTGTAAACACAAGTTCAGGGGCCCCTGCGGGCCTCTTGGATGCTCGTCGGACCCCTTTGGCAGCGCGCCTGGCGGCACGGGCGATTTACTCACGTGCGTGGTTGCTTTCTTGTCTTCAGACTAGGAGGATGAGAAGGAGGGGGAGGAGTAGGCAGTGCCGTACCATAGTGTCGGTCACGTCGGCAGGACATCTATCTATGTATGCTTCTTTTGCGGTCCACCTCTTGCCGATCGCACTGTGGTTGCCCGCTGTCCCCGCCGAGATCCCTGCTCGGAGGTGTCCGCTCCCTTCTTCCCCCTCCAAGGCTGCGCAGGGACCAGAGGAAGGAGGGGGCAGCCTTCAGGGCCGCGCCCAGTTCCGCGCACAGAAAGCGCCTCTCGGGCCACCCCCGCCCCGCCTTCTGCCCGGAGGGGAGAAAGCAGACAGACACAGTTGATCGTCGAACCCCCCCCATGAACATGTGGGGAGATATGGGAGGTGGGGGGAAGATGAATACCCAAAAGATACGGATTAATTATTAGTGGGCGTCCTGCTACCCTCGTCAAAATTAACCTCAACAGTGGCTGGCACGTCATTTCGATTTCGGCGCGCCCCTCAATGTCGACACGCCGCCCCTTCAATGTCGGGGCGAGGGCAAAGAAAGTCTGACCGAAGTTGACTCGAAAGGTTGACGTCGATCGACATTGGAGGGGCGGCGCATGCAAGTACCCCGCACTCCTGGATGCTCGGCCCCAGATCTTCCGACAAGCAGTTCAACCACGTCAGACATTTTTGAGGTTAATTTTGACGAGGGTTGCGGGATTTGTGTCTATCGGGCGAAGAGAACTATGCACATGCACCGATCCTGGCAAGGCCCATCCTTGACCCAGGATCGGTGCATATGCCTTCCTGGCCAAGGCAGGAGGGCGTATGCACCGACCCTGGGCTCAGGATGGGCCTGGCCAGAATCGGTGTATGTGCATAGCTCTTTTTCCTCTAGTATATATTCGTTTGTGCCTCCCAGGGCCCCTTCGTTTCCGCTCCCTCTCGCGAGGGTCCGCAGGCCTCGGGCCTCCCGAAGGCAGCGGGCCCCCGGGCCCCCCGGGCGGGGGGTGGGGGGGGGCTCTCGCTGCCCCCGGGGAGCGGCCGCCTCGGCGCCCTTCTCCGCGCGCGCGGCACGAGGAAACGCCGCCGCACCGCCAGCGGCACGGGGCGCCCTCGCGCCTCGCGGCAGGCAGCTGCCGGCGGCGAGCGAGGGGGGGGGGGGGGGGGGGGGGCGAGGAGGAGGAGGCCTCCTCAGATCGGGGGCGGGGTGATGACTGGGTGTGTGTGGATCTCGTGGCGGGGTCCATGATGTTTCCCCAGATCTTGTGGCGCCTCTTCCTATTTCATTACGTCCCTGGGCCCCCCGCTGGGCCGCGCACGTGCCGCCAGTCATGATTTGCACCCCCCCCTCTTGGACACCCCCCTCTCGGCCGCTCCCGAGTCGTCGGGGAAGGCTCAGAAGACTTCTCGGAGGGCCGGGGCATCTCCGAGCCCTCTGAGAAGGCCTCCTCCTTCTCATTTCCCCCTCCCGCTCGCCGCCAAACTCATGGCAGACATCTGGGCTCTTGCTGTTTCACGCCGTGGCCGGTTCCGTCTCGGCGGAGTCCATGGGTTGACGCTCTGGCCGAGCGGCTCTACAGCAGCACCCAGGATACCAACTGCTCATCCCGAGTCGGGACGGTCCCGGGGGCCCGTGGACGGCCTCGCGGGGGCGAAACGCGCCGGAAGCAGATCGGAGCCCCTTCTCTTCGGGACGCTCTTCCTATTTCTGGCGGCCCCAAGAAGTCTTCGGCCCACAGCTCTCCAGGCGTGCGTTCCGACCAGACGTTCGAGGCGGGGATCCAGCCAGGGCGACGAGGAGCCGGGCCTTGGAGACGTCCAGGAGCACAACGCAGGCCCTCCGAGAGGCTTCGATGCTCGAGCCCCGATCCAGGAACCGCTTCCTCCAGGGGCCTCGGGGGGCAAAGGTTCGAGGGGGACGTGCCATGGAGGAGCGTGTCGACCTCCCGTCGCCCTTTCATCGCCGATGTGGACCTGATGCAGTGGAGACCCATGCCAAGACACACCCTGCTCGCCTCCAGGGTGCCCTGGGTTTCTCGGGTTTCGATGGTGTCCTTGTGGAAAGCGTGACGTGCCCACACCAAGAATCGATAGACGTCTGTGGGCCTCAGGGTTGGGTTTCTTGTGGAAGGCTTCTTGTGGACTGGCCTCCACTGTAGCCCACCCGGCCGGGGACCGTGCGGATGTTGGAGTGGGAACTTGTCGCTGATCCATCGGCGACGCATCGCCGGTTCCAGCAGCATGCTTCCCCCCCTGAGCTGGTCTCCCCTGGCGTGCCCCCCCCTCCCCCCCAGGCCCGCCTCCCTCCCACGGGACCCTTCTCCTCCTCCTCCTCCTCCTGCGCGCCGCAGCGGCAGCCGCACCGGCCCCCCCGGCGCTGCCCTTGTGCCCGAGGCGCTCCAGCCGGACCGCTCGTACAGTCAACCCGCGTAGCAAGGATGGGCAAGCCTACCACGTCTGCCCTTGCATCCTTGCCCCTTCGGCCCATCCCTAGCGGCTTTCGCCGACCGGCCTCGCTCGAGACAACGTGCCCATGGGCCTCCAAGGCCCCGGCATCCTCACCGCGCAGCTATCTGCTGCTGCGGGCTGGCGGTGTTGCCCTGCCCTGCCCCGCGCGGCAGCGGAGGTGGATGGACCTGCTCGCGCAGAAGGCCTTCCTGCCCTCCGCCAGCCGCCTCCTCACGTCCTACGACGGCGGCCCGCGCCTCGGCCGGGCGAGAAGGGCCCACGGCCGCGCGGCCCTCGGCCCGAGGCCCTCGGCCAGAGGCCCTGGCATCGCTCGGACGTGTGCATGTTTCCTTCGGCGAGGACCATCGAGGAGCATCCTTGATCACTCGGCGAGAAAACCACGCACGAAACCGCAACAAAAAGCACGGGCAAGGGACGTCCGAGCGATGGCGAGAGGCGGCGCGCGGTCGGGCGGCGGCCCTCGGCCGGAGGCGGCCCTCCGCCAGCCGCCGCCGCACGTCCTGCCGCGGCGGCCCGCGCCTCGGCCGGGCGAGGCGGCCCACGGCCACGCGGCCCGAGGCGGCGCGCGGTCGGGCGGCGGCCCTCGGTCGGGAGGCGGAGGAGGAGGAGGAGGAGGAGGAGGAGGAGGAGGAGGAGGAGGAGGCGGAGGCGGAGGCGGAGGCGGAGGCGGCCCTCCGCCAGCCGCCGCCGCACGTCCTGCCACGGCGGCCCGCGCCTCGGCCGGGCGGCCCACCGGCACCTCGGGCGACGCCCATGGCGCGCTCCGCGCGCCAGGGGGGGGGGGGGGGTCCAGCGCAGATCCAAGAAATCGCGCGGAACGCCAAATTTGTATGTTTATGCGGTTCTTCTTCGAAGAACATTTCTTGGAAGGCTGGAGGCCTGGTCGGCTTTCGGATCAGGCCCGCCCCCATCTGCCCTCCCCCTGGGGCGGGCTGCTGACCAGAGGTGTCGATTCCCTCCCCGCGGGGGGCATTTGTTTTACGTATTGTAGTGGCCTTCGGCCAGTGCCGCCGATCCGGGTCGTTCGCTGTTATTCTCCAGACGCAGACATTATGGGCGCACACTCAAACGCACACACACACAGTCACACCACCTAATCCGCGCCGCAGACATGCACACACACACCACCACCCACACACACACATACCAGTTAGGAAACGCACGCGCGCGCGCACGCCGAGCGGATACACATATTACGCGGACGCCTCACGCACGCACACGACCAAATGCACATACGGCAGACACACATACAGAGACACACTAGGCGCACGCCAGACACTAGCACGCACAGACATTCGCAGACACGCACCACACACAGACACTCGCACAGAAACACACACCTGAACTCGCTTGAGCGTCGCGTGTGATAGGGTTGGTGGGGGTGTGTGCGAAGCGTAAGTCTGTTCCGACAGGCCAGACTGGCGTCACGGATGTGGCCTGGACGATGTGGTGCGAGCGGTGGAGGCGAGCCTATCGGCGCAAGGACGCTCTCTTGGGGCGTTTTTGAGCCATCTTAGGAGCCTGTCAGGGCGTCGTGGAGGCTTCTTGGGGGCTTTGGGGGGCCCTCTTGGGAGCTCTTGGGGCCTCCCGGGGGCCTCGTGGGCTGGAAGGCTAGATTGTTTCGCTTTTCGTCCCTCTTTTGCGTCCTCTTGGGGCCGTCTTGGGGGCCTCTTGGGCCGTCTTGGGCGGCTCTTGGGCCGCCTTGGGGCCCTCTTGGGCCGTCTTGGGACTGTCTGGGGGCCTCCTGGGCCGTCTTCGAGCGGTCTTGGGGGCCTCTTGGGACGTCTTGGAGCGTCGGAAAGCAGAAAACAGCGACAACCCCAAAAACATTGAAAACCAACCAATGGAAATCAACGATTTTTGCCTCTGGGGGCCCTCGTGGGAGGCCTCTTGGAGGCCTCTTCAGACGTCTTGGAAGGCTCTTGGGCCGTCTTGGGGCCATCTTGGGCGTGTTCGGGCGATCTTTCGGGGTCTCGGGACTTTCTTAGACCGTCCTCAGAGACTTTTGCGGCCGCGGCCACCCTTTCAGCGCATCCTCGAGATTAGAGCCTTCTGTAAAAGCAGCCCCCCGCGACCGCCAGAAAACTCGTACCCCCCCCCGCACCCCAACCCCCCTTCCCCGGCAGAGCCACCCCGGCAACCTCCCCAGAGACTGAGGCTTAGCCTCGAGGCTATAGCTGAGACTCCTTGAAACTCACACGCCGGATCGGCGGATATCCTCCTTGGCATCCGTCCTCCTCTTCCTCCGTCTTCTTTCTGTTCGTCTCCCTCCGTTTCCTCCTCTGCAGCCGTTCATGTTTACGTTTTGATTGTATCCATACAACCGAACTACGTAGGTCCATACGGTAGGTTCGTGCCGTAACGACGCGGTTGCGACCCCGCCGCTGACGTTCATGGCTGAACGCCGCCATTGGTCCCAAATCGACCGATTCGGAGCGGTGTGGCGATCGAAACGTCGCCGGCTCGGCCATGACCGGCGCCATCGGCCCTTCGGGCCGCGATGCGCGGGGCGTCCACCGACGCGGCCGGGCCCTCCCCTGCCAAGGCCTCGCTGGCTGCCGTGTCAGAGACCAACGCGGGGGTTCACCACCCACCAAACCACCCCAACCCAACCCGAAGTCCTCAAATTGACGGCCATTTCCAGTGGAGGGGGGTCGGGGAACATCGAGAAACACACATATGGAACCCGTAGCCCCCCAACCCGAAATTCGGGTCTTCGGGTTGGGTTGGGGTGGTCTGATAGGTAGTCAGGGCTCGTCACAGCACGAGCCTGCCGCAGCCGACCATATCCCCTTCCGCCCAGCGCGAGATGGCGGCGAGCGCCGCACGGAAGACCGGCGCCCTCGCGGGGCTCCTCCCGTTGGCCGGCGCGCTGAAAGTCAATTCGGGCTGCGGTCCGTTGGGGTGGCGCGCACGCGGGGAGGGGGGGGGGTCCCTCCTCCTCCTCCTCCTCCTCCTCCTCCTCCTCCTCCTCCTCATCCTGCTGCCTCCTGTTCCTCCTCCTGCTGCCTCCTGCTTCTCCTCCTGCCTCTTGCCTCTTGCCTGCCCTGGGGGACTGGCCCACTGAGGTGCCCAACACGAAGAAGAGAAGGAGTATTGGGCCACCTCCAGCCGAGTGTGTCACCTCAGGAGCCAGGGGCGCTATCTGGAACACCTCCTCCTTCTGTCTCCTCTTTCTTCTCCTCCTCCTCCTCCTCCTCCTCCTCTTCCTCCTCGTTTTCTTCTTCTTCTTCTCCGCCTCCTCCTCCTCCCTCTGTTCCTGCCTCCTCTTCCTCCTCCTCCTCCTCCTCATCTTCCTCCTTCGAGCTTCGAGCTGCGGACCGTTGGTTTCCTGGGCGGATACGGCCTTCGGACCCCTCTCACCCGGAAGCGCCGAGGGGAGGGGCGACAGAAAAACTGAGGGAAACAGCGAGAACAGAAGAGACGACCGATCGAAGGAGCTTCAGGGGGGCGGAGGGAGGAAGGCTGCCTGCGGCGGCTGGCGTCCGCGTGCAGACTGGGACCGAGCGCGAGGCCCAGCTTCGCTGGGGGGATCTAAAATCAAGGCGGGCGTGTCCTTCTACAGGGGGAATAGTCAAACATCTTCAAAACATAGTATGTGGACGACTTGTTTTACTATGTTTGCTTATTCCTTGAGTAGTGCTGGGGGTATGCCTCGTTGTTTCGTCCAAGATCCCCCTGTAGGGGGACGTGCCCGACCTAAATCTAAGACTCACCTCGGCTCGCCGCTCCCTGGGGTGGGGTCACGAGCCTCCAGTCCTTTCCTGGAGGTCAGGCAAGCGGCGAGGAGGTCCTCCTGCTCGTCCTCTTCCTCCCTCTCCCCTTCCTCCTCCCCCTTCCTCTTCATCCTCCCCCTTGCGCTTCATCCTGCCCCCTCCTCTTCATCCTCCCCCGTTCCTCCCTCTCCTCTTCCTCCCCCTTCCTCCCGCTCCTCGTCCTTCCTCCCCTCCTCTTCCTCCACCTCCTCCCTCTCCCTCCCAGCTCTCCGACGATCTGCCGGCTCGATGTGCGCTTGCTCGTGGACGCCGGCCTGCCAGGCCCTCTGTGGGTCCCGGGCACTTTGTGGGCCCCGGCAACGGCAGGGCCGTTTTTTCACCGCTTCCCCAAAAAATGTCCTTTGAAAATGGGAACGGCAAACAAACGGCGACCGGAAACGGCAAAAACACAGCTCCAGGATTGGAACTTGAGCCGGAACCAGTCAAAAAACGGCGACGGAACCGGTAACAAAAACGGCGCCGGAACCAGCGAAAAACCGGCAAAACGGAACCGGTAACAAAAACGGCCCTGTCGTTTCCAGGGCCCACGAAGCCCAGGCACCATCAAAATGGGATCCGAGGCGAAAGATGCCTCAGGGCCAGGGCTCGGGAGTTCTGGGGCCGCGATTCGACAAGCACATGTCGCAGGATGTCTGGCCTGCTCCTCTTTCCTCCCCATCTCCTCTCGTATACGATGAATCCTTCTCCTCTCCTTCCTCCTCCCTATTCCTCTTCCTCCCTCTGCGCCCTCGCCGCTGGCGCACGCACAACATCGCGTCCGGGAGGGCGCTCGCCAGCGCCACACCGGGAGGGAGTCGAGGTCCTTCAGGGGCAACGTTAGGGGGTATCGGATGGGCTCAGGGGGAGATGCATCGAACCCGAATCGCCCAGCCATCGCTCATAGGGGCCCGATGGCCCAGCCCGCCCAGTACAATGCGGATTCGCTATCGTGGGCTTGTCGCCGATTCAGGCTCCCCCCTGAGCTGGTCCCCCCCTGACGTTGCCCCTCACTCGTGGTGTCGCCTCTGGTGCAGTGCCACTTTCTGGAAGCATGCTGCAGGGTGGGGCACGCGACGGCGACACCGCGTTCGCTCTCCTCCCTCTGGCTGTTCACGTGAGTGATTAGCGAGCGCGGGGGAGACCCTGCTTAGGCGTGCCGCCGCCGCTTGCGGCTGCTCCAGCTCGCGCCCCGTGAGCCCGCTCCGTGCGAGCGTGAGGCGGCCAGTGGTCTTGAGGCCGTCGGCGTACCCGCAGATCGCGATCGCGCGGTGTGCCTCCCCGGGGGTGCCGGGCACGGCTGTCCGGGCAGCGCCTGTATGGATCTTGTGTTCCCTTGTGGCTTCGCCGCCTCTTCGGGCCTCCCCCCGAGCTCACCGTGCTGCCTCCTCCCCTCGTCGGCAGTCCCCAAGCGTGGTGGTGACAACCCCCGGCGGTGAGTCTCGGGCGATGTGGTGTCACCACCCGGTTTGGGGA